CACTGGAATAAATTTAACAGCTGTCGGACGAGTGCCTTAGAAATGACAGCAGTCTGAAGTTGGTTGCAGTTTTTTCATCTCACCCTGTAGTTATCGATTTGTATAATTTATCCTGTGGCTTTAAAAAATTGTTAAATTTTGAAAAGGTCCCCAATTTGGGTATTATTTTTTTTCTTCAATATTCCCCCTTGGGCATACCTAATTTAAAAAACGAACGGCCATGGCTATGATACCATGGCTCCACGACTTTTGGCGATTTCTTATTACGGATAGAAAATTGAAAACTGTTAACGACGACGACGATACTGTCTTCCTTTTCAAGGATATCGCTATGGGCCATGGGCCCAGGATGGCAAGCAAAACAATTCGCTGATGGGCTAGCTTTTCACTCGATTACTGCTGTTCCTCTCTGCTGAATGCCTACCAAAATATTCTTAATTAAGAACAAGGCTTGTTCGGCAACGACAACAGTAGTAGCAACAACAACACCAAGTGTTAGTGTAAACAATGCTTTCGTGTGGGTGGATGGGTGGCTGAGTGTTTGGTTGGTTGATTAACAAGTCCTTGGAGAATTTAAATAAATTTAGTTCGAGATAATAAACCAAAAAATGCGGTGGAAGTGTAAACTGTAAACTCATTACAGTGTTTATGCCGAAGGCGTCGATTATCAGGAAAAACTCTTAGCAGCTGCAACGGCAGCAGAGGAAGAAGTGGCAGAAGAGTAACTAAGATATACTTAATTGTATAACTAATTGAATACCAAAGAAACCGGTACTTCTATGACTAATTCATGGCGGAGCTGGTAATTATGTGGTAGTAGGTTTTTTAAAAACCGTGGGGCACTAAGATTCTCTTATTATTTTGGGCCTTAGATTTAATGTAAGCAAATAAAAAATTTTGAATTTCTTTAAATTGTTGGAATATTCAATTATAGATGAAATATTCAATTAAATATTGTATTATTTCCAATGACCGTATCTTTAATCTTTGTTTGAAGTGAGAATTGCTTGATAGATATTGAACTCTGTACCACCAAAAAAACCAATGGGGAAAAATCACCGCTCCATCAAATAATGCAATTTTTGAAGCTTGGGCGCCACTAATCGTATGTAATGTCAATATTTTAAGGATTTCACGAACACGATTTCTACGACGGCTATTTTGGAAAACGGTACAATAATTCAGCAGCAAAACATGTCTAAAGCTACACTTAAACTTGAATTGTCAAAAATATTTTATTTTTCGTTTGTCGACATTGATTGATTATTGATTAGTTGGTTATACTGACAGCTGTAGCGACAGCTCTGTAGCCAATGACCGTATAAACAAATATAATATCGAACTATTTAAGACAATTCCGAAATGTTATTTACAAATAAAATTCTCCGTAAAAAATGCAGAATTTGAAAGAAGAATTGTGTTAAGTTTCAAAATGGATTTTCAGGGTGAATAGTAGCATTTTTATATTCTCAGTCATATGGCTAGGGAAGGAATATATCATTTGATACGGCCAAAACGTGCCTCATCGATATATCGGTTTTAGACCCTAGGTCTCTTTGAACCAAATCCGTATCAGGACATTTGGAGTCGATCTAGCGATGTCTGTCTGGCAGGCTGGTGCGCACGATAACTCTCGAATTGAATATCCGATTTGGTACAAAGTCTGAATGGAATCGGATGATAATTTCGCGTTTTATGAGCTCCATGGATACTCAAACTTTTGCCCCTTTGTCGGGGAGGTACCAGAATAAGGGGGTACCGTAAATATATCCTATCTTCACACCAGATCTTGGGTTGATAAAAATATCGTGATTTGGAGAGAACAGTAGGCTTTTTTCGGATTTTATGATCGTTTTGGTGTTTCAAAACTTTGACACTTTTTTGGGGGAGGTACTTGAAGGCATGGTCCGATCTCTAACATCTTTACAACTGGTCTTGTGTTGATAGAAATGTTGAGATGTGCCAAGTCGAAATCGAATCGGATATTAATTTCGTATTTTATGAGCTTCATGGATGTTCCAAATTTTGACCCTTCGTGGGGGAGGTACAAGAAGTAATGGTCCGATCTCAACTATCTTTATAACAGATCTTGTATTTATAAAACTATTCAGATGTGCCAAGTCTGAATGCAATCTGATGCTAATTTCGTGTTTTATGAGCTTCATGGGTATTCATTGTGGGGGAGGTACCAGAAGGAGTGCACCGATATATTCCAAATCTCACCCCAGACCTTGGGTATTTAAAGTCCTTTATGTATGGTTAATATTGGACACAAAAAAAACAAAACCATTTTGGGATTTTTATCTACTGACCACACTAAGCTTGGACCAAATATTATATTCGCTTTAAAAATTGCCATCCACAGCAGTCAGACAGAGAGACGAATATATACCCATGTCTAAAACCACTCCAATTTTCCAAAAAAAAAAAAAAAAAAAAAAAAAACAAGTAAAAAAGCAGTAAGTTCGGCCAGGCCAAACTTTAAATTTAGGAAATTTTCAAAAAAAAATCCATTAAAAATTCTTTAAAAACCTTTCAAATACAGAATCTCGGAAGGTGCCGATATATAGGGGATAGACGATATTGCGGACCTATATAGACAAATCTATTTCGGGGGAAAAGTACTCACAAAGAACTCCTTGTGCGGAATTTCAGACAATATCATTCAAAAATGTGGCTAAAATCAACATAATATCGAATATCGGGGGGTACCGTTATATGGGGGCTATACGATATCTCAGACCTATGTAGGAAATTCTCTTCCAGGGGATAAAGTACTCACAATGAACTCTTTGTGTAGAATTTCAGACAATTCTATTGAAAAATGTGACTGACATCATCAAAATACCGAATATAAGGGGGTACCGTTATATGGGGCCTTTACGATATCCCGGACCTATAACTATAATTTTCTTCCAGGGGATAAAGTACTCACATAGAACTCTTTGCGTAGAATTTCAGACAATTCCATTGAAAAAATGTGGCTAACATCATCAAAATAGCGAATATCGGGGGACCCTTATATGGAGGCTATACGGTACACCCTATAACGATAATTCTCTTCCAGGGGATTAAGTACTCACAAAGAACTCTTTGTGTAGAATTTCAGACCATTCCATTGAATAATGTGGCTAACATCATCAAAATGCCGAATATCGGTGGGGTACCGTTATATGGGGCCTATGGGATATCATGGACCAAAATAGTCCACCTGCCTGCAGACAAAAGACAGACCTGTGCAAAATTTTAGCTTCCTATCTTAATTCGTTTTGACTGTAGCGTGATTACAACAGACGGACAGGGCTAAATCGTCTTAGAATTTTACGCTGATCAAGAATATTTATGGTGGAGGGTATAAATAGGATTTTGTATTAAAGAGTGTAGTAGTCAGGCTGAGGATGAGTTTTTATGCTCTCATTTATATAGCTACAGGGGCATATGTCGTTTCAGGTTGCCAAAATGTGCCTTATCGAAATAACGGTTACATCTTTAAGTGAAATCCGTATCGAGAAATTTGGGGTTGTTACCATATCCGCCAGGCCGATAACTTTCAAGCCAGTGTCCCATTTAGTTCAAAGCAAGTATTCAAGTTCGAGCCGATATTTGAATACCGACATTTTGGTACTTGTATTTTCAGAGGCATCCCTTTTCCTCATGCTGCAGGGTATTTAACGGTCGACCGGCCGAACTCAATGTCTTGTCGTTTCTTTTATTTTCGTTTTTTACAGATGTTGCTGCGGCTGACATTCCCCCTTGCCAAATACACGTCATTTCATATATTTTTAGAGATTTTCAATTTTTACGGCAAATTATTCCCATAAAGTATTGAAAATTATTTTGTTAAGAACGTTAAGAACAAAAATATATATATTTAACATGAAACCCATATTTCGAGAATATGGTTGGCAATGGTTTTGTTTACTGGAAATTTATTGCTCAATCAATTTCTGGCAATTTTCGGCAGCTGGAGGAACATTCAAACACTTTAAATTTATTGACTTGTGTCAAAACATAAAATCTTTCCCTCATTAAATTCTTATTAAATTTGACAAATTTCTTCAAGCACTGGCGTGGGGAGGTTTGTTCATTCATTCGATGGATCCATGTTAAGGCATTACCTCGTTAAGCCATAAAAGTATAAAATGGCTACGAAATTAGGATTCGCCATTGGATTTGTCTAAACAACAACAAGCCAAACAAATAACTTCGTTTGGTAAGTGTCAGCAAAGACGTTTAGACCTTTCACACGACTTGTTAGTAGCACCAGCAGTCGCTGTGTGTGTGTGAGTCCCTTGTGTTGTTGACAACGCATGGTGAAAATGAATTGTTTAACGGTCCTTGGAAATTCGACTGGAGTAGAGTAGGCACGGGCACAGAACTTTTGTGTGACAGACGGCAGGGGGTGGGGGAGGTGGTGTGAAAAACTTACACCAAAGACGGAGAGGAATCAACATTCCTTTCACACGCACGCACACACACTCACACACAGACATCCTTATTTCGCCAACATGGCACGCACATTTTCCATTTTGAGGGCATATCATGTGTGTCAATATATATAGTTTGTGTGTGTGTGCGTATCTGAGCGCCAGGATATTTGTATATCTTAATACGCTCAAAGTTGTGTGTAAACATTTTGAACGAATCCACTAATCTCCACCGCTCATGGTTATGATAAATCTTAGTGAACCACAAAATTTTACGCTTCTTCGTATCTGCTTCATCTTAAGGACCGCAACTAATACCAAACAATGCCGGAACCGAGAAGCACGTCTCTACACCTCCCCCACCCCCACCCTTGACGAATGGGGAGATATGTTTCTGTAATATTAAGTAATTTTCAAAAGTATTTGCTCGCCTAGTTAATTTCATCATTTTCTTTTCAATTTTATCTCAATTTTCAATTCAATTTCATTTTTTCAATTTTTTTGTTCGTTCGCTATGCTCTCATCTTCCATCACTGATTTATTTTCCGTATATTATTGCGTTCTCTTTCGTAGGTATCATGGATGCGGCGAAAAGGCGACGAACTGGCACTTATTACATTCGGCCGCCACACATACAGCGGAGACTCCCGTTATTCGCTGGAGTTTGAGGAGCCAAACGATTGGAAACTTTTAATCCAATACGCCAACGAACGTGACGAGGGTCCTTATGAGTGTCAAGTTTCATCACATCCGCCTTTAGTGTTGTTAGTCTATTTGACTGTAATTGGTAAGTATCAAAACAGCAGCAACACAACAGCAGAAGATCTGAACATTCACGAAGTTCTACATATACTATATATACTTCAATTACATACACACATACATATATACACAACACTTATCCTCACTGACACCATTTCATCAGTTGGCAAAGAATAAAGACAAATATATTGTCTAAGAAGCCCAAGAAGGTGGGGCCTTTTAGATAACTTTGATCGTCAGTTTGTTAGGAGAGAGAGGGAGATACGGTAGGTAGGTGAGTAAAACTGAAACTATACAGGAACCTCCCATGCACCAACAAACTGGTAAATTAAAGCATTCATAATCTTTATTAATAAGAGTCAAGTAATTGACTAACTGACTGACAGACAGACTTAACGATTCCTCAAAGCCCAGACGAAAGGGCTCAAGGTAGAATCTTGATTTTTTTGATCACTCTTGATAAGGATGTTTTTATACCCTCCACTATAGTATGGAGGGTATATTAAGTTTGTCATTCCGTTTGTAACACCTCGACTTGACCAGCATAAAACTCTATGTCGATTTATCGATGTCCGTCCGTCTGTGGGAATCACTCTAACTTCCGAACAAAATTAACAAAATGAAATAGGTTTTTTTACTCAAATGTGTATTATGTCTACAGGACTTTTGGTATTGAAAATGGGCCATGTAGGTCCACGTCTTCGTATAGCCCCCGTGTAACGGTACCCCCCGATATTCGGTATTTTTATGATTTTAGCGACATTATTTACCCGAACTTTTTTCTTTGAACTTTGAATTTCATAATGAATACTACAACCTATACCAGAAAATTGCCTGTCATGGTGGAGGGTACTCAAAGTTCGGCCCGGTCGAGTTTTTTTTTTTTTTTTTTGAAATTCGCACTAGAACGGGACGAAAAGTAGTAAAAGGTGCTAAATATTAATAATATTGTACTTGAGGAACTAGTAGAGCTAGAACTCTTAAATTTTGAATGAGGACACTGATGGAACGTACAATTGATGTACCAATGGCTTTTTAAAAAAAAATGCACTGTATGTGTACAAAAAGTACTAAAATGTACTACAAAATTTGCAACACTTCGTATCAAGGTGAACGGTTAGAGACTGAGGAATGTAGATAGTTGGGGAAATTCGTACTTATGTTGTACTACGTGGTGCTAAATTTGGTACAATTTAAATTTTGGGTGAACCAAATAGAGCTGCTATCCTGAAAATTGTAAATAAGATTACTGGCGGAGTGTAGGATTGGGATATGTAAGAAATTTTGAAAATTCGAACTGAAGTGTATTAAATTGTACCAAATTTGGTACAATTTGGATTTGGGTGTACCAATAGAGCTCGTATCCTGAATATTGGAAAGTAGCTAACTGTCGGAGTGAAGGATTGGGATATGTAGGTAGTTTTGGAAAGTTTTGTACTTATATGTACTTAATGACGCTAAATTTAGTACAATTTAAATTTTGGATACACCGGTAAAATTTGAATTCTAAAATTTGAAAATAAGATTTCTATTGGACTCTATGATGTACAGGGTGAGATAAAAAAGTAACAAAGTTAAAAGCCATAATTTTTATTTTTTTTTTTTAATTTTATTGAATGAAAGCAAAAAATTCCGAAAATATTGCCAAAGACACAATATATCTAAATTTTAGGGATTCAAAGGAATCTTCAAAAGATAGTGGTAGAGGGGGGAACTTGCGATGTAAACTTTCAAAACCCCAAAACAAGTGCCTTCTTTTTTATATTCTCAGCCATATGGCTAGAGAGGGTATATATGATTTGATACGACCACAACGTGCCTCCTTGAAATAACGATTTTAGACCCAAGGTCTCTTTCGACCAAACTCGTTTCAGGACATTTAGAGTCGGTCTATCCATGTCCGTCCATCCGCCCGTCCGTCTGGCTGGCTAGTGCGCATGATATCCTATTTGGTCCAAACTTGGTACATCGTAATACTACTATCAAGCTTAAATCGAATTCCGAGATGGGCAATATCGTTTCACTCCATCGGCACCTCCTTCACAAAAGGTCGAAGTTTTCTAACAAATGTTATATCTACATTTTGACCGATTATCTCCAATTTCAATAGGGTCGTCCTTAGGCCAAACAAATAATTTGTGCAAAATTTCATCTGGATAGGGCAATAAATGCGAACTGTACTTTGTTTACAAAAATACATGGACAGGCGGACAGACAGACGGACGGACATACATAAATCGACTCAGAATGTGAGTCTATCTCGTTTCCTTTTGCCTGTTACAAACAAATGCACAAAGACACAATGTAGGGCGTAGGGTATAACAAGTAAAAAATATAAAGTTCGACTGCCAAACTTTTAATACCTCCAGGAAAAATGGCAAAAACCATTAAAATGCCGAATATCGGGAGGTACCATTATACCAAATCATGGACCTACACATGCAATGTTTCGCCAAAGGAGCTAGAACCCATTATGACTTACAAATACCAATTTTCAGACAAATCCGTGAAAAATGTGGCAAAAATCATCAAATTACCGAATATCGGGAGGTACCGGAGGTACGAACTGGGACCCATTTCGACCCACAAATACCAATTTTTAGACAAATCCGTGAAAAATGTGGCAAAAAAATTTAAATACCGAATATCGAGAGGTACCTTATGAATATATATACTTTATGGGGTCTACGACGAATATTTAAGGATGTTACAAACGGAATGACAAAGTTAATATACCCACCTTTCTAAGGTGGAGGGTATAAAAAGGGACCGAAAATACCCCTTTGTTGACTCGCTTGAGGGTATTCAACAAAAATATTATACCATAGTATGGAGGGTATATTAAGTTTGTCATTCCGTTTGTAACACCTCGCAATATACATTTTAGACCCCACAAAGTATATATATTCTTGATCAGCATAAAATTCTATGTTGATTTAGCGATGTCCGTCAGTCTGTGGAAATCACTCCTGCTTTCGAACGATTTGAAGTAGATAGATAAAATTTTACTCAAATGTATATTACGTCTGCAGGACTTTTTTGAAAATTGAAAATGGGCCATGTAGATCCACGTCTTCGTATAACGGTACCTCCCGATATTCGGTATTTTGATGATCTTAGCTACATTGTTACCGATTTCTTTTAAGATTCGCATTTGCTGCTGCTGAATATTCCCCGTAATTATTGAAAAAATTACAATTTGACGCACAGTGTTATTTTCAACCTACTAGTAGTGTAAAATCTGTTTACATGAATTTGTAATGAGTTATCCATTCATTCATGGCCCTAAAATGCTCTGCTTTAAAACTTCACTCCCAGGTCATACAGCCATTGGCCTTGTTTATTTACACACTCTTCCACCAAAACTAAGGCCATTACATCCACAGGCCTGGAATAATTCTCATTTACTTCACTTCACTCCAAAACAAATGGCCGTGATGATGACGCTGTATTTTTCTTGCTGTCCCAACAAGTACACAAACAAGTATATATACTACACACACACACATACATCCTTAGTGTACAGTTTATATAGTTGATGATAAAAATGTGTACAATCAATCATTTTGATGCCGAGTGGTTGTTCACACTTCATTCTCAATTCTATGTTCGTCTCGCTTTTCCACATCGTAAATTCTTTGCCAGCCATAAAACCTTCAATTCTTCATGCACACAACAACAACAACAGCAACGGCAGACAGCAGCTTCGTCATCGTTAATGCCCAACCGCCCACACCCAGCCCACCACGGCACTGTCACTTTTAAGGAGTTGAGAGCGTACTGAGATTTCTGTCACAAGATTATGAATTTCAATTTTCGCTTTTCTCCTGTCCACTTTGTTGATGTGTAATGATGGGCAAGTGAATGGCCAAGATGATGATAATGGGACGATGGAAGACAGTCAGAAAGGGAGACATGGACCCAGGTTTAATGTTTGCAGCATGAGTGAGTGAGTGTGTGTGAGTGTGCCAGCGAATGTGGGCGTCATAAATAAAGTACAGAGCAAAGGCGTTAACATGCCAATCCCCCCCTGAAATTCTCGACCATTTTGTGTGTCCATCAAACTGACGTGAGCATATCCTTTCAATTTACCTACTCCCTGTTTCCCTTTCATATTTGCCTCGTAACCAAAACGAATTGAATTTTACAAGATGATGAGTCGCAGATTGATGAAAGGATAACGGATGAAATGCACCAGCACCACCAGCCGCAGCAGAAGGATGTCGATAATGTACTTCGGTCTGATATATATCATAACCCCAAAAAGCATTTCTAACCGACTATAAAATTAACATTGCTTCGGTTCGAGCTGGAGAAATTTTGGGAGTAAAAAAATAATATTTACCAAGAAACAAATCGATATGAGCATGGACGATTTTTGCTGCTTTTCGTTTATTGCATTGGAGTTCTGTTTACACTCGCCCACTTTTATGACCCTTGGAGGAAGTGAGGGAGGGGGGGAGGAAATATAAATTTTATGAACAAGCATGATGACTACAAGTGAACGTTGGCACATTCATTAACCAACGTCAATTGCAATTGATGTGTGGCAGCGATTTGTTGTTGCGTCTAGGTTTGAAAACAACCAGTATGAAATGGAATGGGTTGAATGTAATTAAACTCGGGCCATACAGAAAAGAGAAACTCATTTTGCTCCATTCCAAGTAAGCTGTAAAATTCAATAATTCATGTCTAAATAATTGATCAACAAGTTTAAAAGTATCAGTCGGTTGTGCCGACAGATGTATACCCTCAGCCATATGCCTAGAGAGGGTATATATCATTTGATACGGTCAAAAGGTGCCTAGTCGGAATAACGGTTTTAGATCCTAGGTCTCCTTGGACCAAATCCATTTCAGGACATTTGAAGTCGATCTAGCGATGTCCGTCCGTCTGTGTGTCTGGCTGGTGTGCATAACTCTTGAAGGGAGTGTCCGATTTGGTCTAAACTTGGTACATCATAATATTTTATATTTTTAGATCGAGTTCGGAAATGGGCAATATCAGTCCTCTCTTTCCCCCCCC